ACCCACGGATTTTGCTGCAGGTTGCAGGGAGAAAACCTGGGAGCAGCAGCAGCAGCAGCAGGAGCAGCAGCAGGAGCAGCAGCAGGAGCAGCAGCAGGAGCAGCAGCAGGAGCAGCCGCAGCTGCGGCTACCCCTGATGCAGCTGCTGTTGCTGCTGCTTCTATCACATCTCTTTCTCCCATGTGTGCTTGTACTATTGCCACGCACTCGGTGGCAGCAGCTATGCCACAGCAGCACGAAGTCTGCAGCAGCAGCTGCTGCTGCTCCTCCTCCTGCTGCTGCCTTCCTTCTGCTGCCACTGAGTTTGGCGGCGAGCCTCTGGACCACAAAACCCAAAATGGTCCAGTCTTCGAGGCAAAATCAATGAAATTAGTACCGAGGCTTCCGTGGGGCTGCATGCGCTGCAGAGCAGCAGCAGCAGCAGCAGCAGCAACAGCAGCAGCAGCAGATCTGCGGCATCGAGCTGGCGTGCATGCATGCCCACAGGTCCTTTTTCAAGATTTTAAATCTTTTAATCAATTGTTATTATTTTTTATATTTTATATTACCTTTTAAACGAAAAAAAGGAGCCACAAAGCTGCAAACCCAGGTGGGGAGGCCGCATTTGCTGTGCTGCTCACAGTGACCCACTGCTGCCTGCGCATGCAGCTCCTATGTGGAATATATTCGCACATATTTGCATGAACTAATCAGTAAATATATAAATATACAAATATATAAATATATAAATAAAATATAAATATATAAATGCACATATTAATGCTGCATATGTTTGTTTGTAGTTGCATATCATGTTTGCAACTGAGGCACTCAGTGAATGTATGCACGTCTCAGTGCTACGCAAGCACAAAATCATACACAGAAGCAAATATATAGAAACATATATTTATATATATATACAATAAATATATAAATATATATATAAATATATATATATAAATATACATATATATGTATAAATATATATATTTATATATATATAAATGGATATCTATATATATAATAAATTTACATTAATATAAATCCATTCATTGCAGGGGCGAAAGTATTCTTAATAGAACAAACCACCCCTAAGGCCAAATAGCCGCTGCAGCAGCATTTGGCTGCACGGCTTTTCGTGCAGCCAAGCTGCAGCCCCCAGGCCTTTTGGCCTGGCTGCTGCTGCTGCAGTGCTTTGCTGCGCTGCAGCAGGCAGCAGCCTCTGCGATGCGCTGGCAGCAGCAGCGTGGGCTCATTCCCTGCTGCTGCTGCTGCAGCTGCTGCTGCTGACTCGTTCCTTGGCTGCCTACTGCAGCCCCTGCGTTTAGGGAGCAGCAGCAGCAGCAGCAGCAGCAGCAGCAGCAGCAGCAGCAGCAGCAGGAAGCCCCGCTCCGCGCGAAGCTGGGGCCCCTGGCGCCCTCAAAGCCTGCAGCAGCAGCGCTGCAGCAGACAATGCAGCAAAACTGCAGCAGAGCTGCAGCAGAGCTGCGGCAGCAAATTATTTCTCGGATTTTTCTACAATTTGCCTTTTTTTTGCTTCTTTAGGATAACTTTGCCGCCATTATTAGTCACTTAAATATATATCTTTATTAATAATTAATTAATTTGATTAAATGCTTCGAAAGAAACTTTTTAAAAGACAAAATAAACTTTCCAGTGTCTAGACAGCCACTTCCTGCGAAGACACAGATGCCACTGCATGCGGGGGCGCCCACAAATATAAATATAATTACAATTATAAATATAAATATAATTAAAAATATAAATATAAATAAAAATATAAATATAATTATGAATATAATTATAAATATATATAAAAGTGCTATTATAATTATAAATATATAGATGTGCATTAGACCCGGCAGTTCAACGCATTTGAAATAACCACCTAGCTGCTGCTGCTGTTGCAGCAGCAGCAGCTGCTGCTGCAGACGTTCCCACCGCTGCTGCTGCTGTGGCCGCTGCGGCTAAGGCGTGCTGGCACCGCGGCAGGCTACGTGGCAGCAAAAAGTGCTGCAACTGCTGCAGCAGCTGTTTTCGAGCTGCTGCTGCTGCTGTTGCTGTTGCTGCTGCTGCTGCTGCTGCTGCTGAGTGTGCCGCCGCTGCTGTGGCTGCTGCCACTGCCACAGCTTTGCTGCTGCAGCGTCTGCGGCTTCTGCTTCTAGCGCTGCCCACCGCATGCAGCTGATACTTGACATTTGCTGCTGCTCACAATGGCTAGCTGTGGCTAGCTGCGGCTAGCTGTGGCTAGCTGTAGCTAGCTGCTGTCATACCTCCCATCTCCTCTGTTTGTTTAACAGCAGCAAAACCTTCAACTGCTTGTGCACGTTGTACTGGCTAGCCAGTTAGTTAGCTAGCTAGCTAGCTAGCTAACTGGCAAACTAGCTACGTGTCCAGCTCCTTAGCTAACCAGCCAGGCCAGTACGCAGCTGCTTAGCTGGCTAGCTAGCCAGCTAGCTGGCTAGCTAGCTATGTAGTTAAATAGGCAGCTAGCTAGCTACCTAGGAACGTAGCTGCAGCAAACAAGCCCGTGGCAGCAAACAGGGTTGCCTGCCTTTGCTTGCCAGCTAGCCAGCCAGCTAGCCAGCCAGCTAGCTAGTCACTCAGTCAGCTAGCTAGCTAGCTAGCCAGGAAAACGGCAGAGCCGCTAGCTAGCTGCCTAGCTGGCAATGCAGGCGGGGAAAGCCTGGCTAGCCAACAAACTAGCTAGCTGGCTAGCTAATATGGCTGGCAATATGGCCAGCTAGCCGGCTAGCTAGCTGGCCAGCTATCTGGCTGGCAAGCTGTCTAGCTAGCCGGCTAGCTAGCTGGCTAGCTACCTGGCTAGCTATCTGGCCAGCTAGCTGGCTACCTAGCTGGCTAGCTAGCTGGCTAGCTAGCCATGGCTCTGGCCAGTCAGGGCTATGGCGTTGGAGAGCTGATTGCTGCGCTTTGCTCTGCTGCTGCTGTCGAAGAGTCTGCTGCTACAGGCGCTGCTGCTGCTGCAGGCGCCGCTGCTGCTGCAGGGGCTGCTGCTGCAGGCGCCGCTGCTCCTGGTGGTGCTGCTGCAGGTTCCGCTGCTGCTGCTGCTGCTGATGGAGCTTCTGAAGCAGCGCCTGTTGCTGCTGCAGCTGCTGCTGGAGCGCTGGCGCTAGCTGCGTCTGCATGCTGCTGCTGCTGCTGCTGCTGCTGATCATTGCCGTCAAAGGAGCTGCTGCTAGGAAGGGCTTGCTGCGCAGCAGCAGCTGCTGAATCGGTTTGCTGCTGCTGCTCCTGCAGTTCAGGCCGCGAAGGCGGAACAATTGCTTCTGGCTGCTGCTGCTGCTGCTGCTGCTGCTGCTGCTGTCTGAACAGCGTGCTGGGGTAATGCGGAGCAGCAAACACAACAACCAGCAGCAAAGCAACTTGCCCAAGGAGCAGCAGCAGCAGCAGCAGCTGCTTCTTGTGCCTTGGGAGCAGCAGCTGCTGCAGCTGCTGCCGAATGAAGCGAGCAGCAACAGCAGCAGCTGCAGCAGCAGCAAGCCACCTAATGCTGCCAGCAGCAGCTCCTGGCAGCAGCTGTGTCACTGAGAGAAGCAGCACAACTGGCGCTGCTGCTGCTGCTGCGTAGCCCTGTAAACAAATCAGCTGGACGAGGCCTACTTCCTGCTGCTGCTGCTGCTGCTGCGGCAGCTGGGCATCCCTGCTGCTGCTGCTGTAGCGCTGCAGCAGCTGCAGCAGCCAGCCAAAAGCAGGGGGTGCAGCAACAGCACCGTATGCAGCAGCACCTGCGAAGGTTAGAAGTTTGAGGCCTGCTGCTGCTTCTGCTGCTGCCACTGCTGCTGCTGCTTCGGGATCTTCTGCTGCTGCTGCTCCTCCAGAAGGCAGCAGCAGCAGCGGGAGAGAGCCACAAATAAAAATCAAAAGAGACAGAGTTGCTGCTATCCACACAGGGCCGTACAAGTCAGGTTGCTGCAGCATGTTGTCCTTTTCGCTGCTGCTGTTGCTGCTGCTGCTGCTGCTGCTGCTGCTGCTGCTGCTGCCGGGGAGGCTTATTGGCAGCACCGCATGCACGCGCATCATGACTTGATTAGCATCTACATCAAACAGCCGCTGCGCAGCAGCAAAAGGGAAGCAGCACCACCACTTCTGCTGCTGCTGCTGCTGCTCCAGATCTGCTGCTGCTGCTCCCGCAGCAAGTTGCTGCTGCCCGCCCCACAACAGTTCTCCCTTTGCTGCTGCATCCAGCTTCCCCATTGTAACTTCGTGTCCTGCTTCGTTCAGTGTTCTGCTGCTGCTGCTGCTGCTGCTGCCGTAGGACGGTGCTGTTGCTGCTGCAGCTCCCGGCGTGCCACTAAGCGACAGCATCAGCCCTTGCTGCTTCGGCCTGCTGCTGCTGCTGCTGCTGCTGCTGCTGCTGCTGCTGCTGGTGCCGATGGCCGTGCTCGTGAAAACAGGTGTCATGAAGGCTCCATCATCTTCAGCTGAACCGGCCGCAGCAGCAGCAGCAGCAGCAGCAGCAGCAGCAGATAGATCTGCAGCAGCATCCGGCGTGGGCCTTTCCCACTGAGTTTGCTGCGTCAGCTGATTATAATAATAAGCTTTTCCGTCCACAGTTTCGTACTGCACCCACGGCAGGGGCAGCGGCTGCTGCTGCTGCTGCTGCTCAGTTTGCTGCTCCATCTTGCTGCTGCTGCTGCTGCTGCGGCGGCGGCTGCTGCTGCTGCTGCCGACGCGGCGGCAGCTGCAGCAGCGGCGTTTGTCGTTGTTGTTGCTGCTGTAGCGGACGCAAGGCAGCAGCCCAGGGGACCAATGGACCTAGAATACCTGCCTAGAACCGGGTGGAACGTCCTGCTGCTGCTGCTGCTGCTGCTGCTGCTGGGGCTGAGTCGCACAGAATTGCTGCAGCAGCACCGCCGCGGCTGCTCTCCTTTTGTCAGTGAGAGACCCCCTGCTGCTGCAGCAGCTTGCCACAGCCCTGTATAAAGAAGGCGCCAGAACGGCAGGAAGTTGCGAAAGTCTGGAAGCTGCTGCTGCTGCAGCGTCAGCAGCAGCAGCAGCAACAGCAGCAGCTATAGCAGCGGCAAGAAAGCAACGCGCATTATGAAATTCACACAAATAGACTGGAGGAAGAACTGTTTTATATTCTTTGGTTTAGACAGGCGCTGGTTGAGCTCCTTTCAAAGTTGCTGCTGCTGCTGCTGCTGCTCCCGAGCAAAACTACAGCCCCGACAGCAACGAAACAACAGCAGCAGCTGCTGCTGTTGCATGCCGCAAGAGCCCGTTTGCTTTATTAGCATTATGTTTTAAAATTGAAAGCTGCCACTCTGCTTTGCTGCAGCAACAGCGGCAGACATCGCCTCAAGACGGCGGCAGCAGCAGCTGTGGCGGCAGCAGCAGCTGCTGCTCCTCCGCCGCAGCAGCAAAACAGGCGAAGGCATTACCCGCGGAGAATAAATATTTTGCTGCATTAACTTGCTGCTGCTGCTGCTGCAGTTGGTGCGGAAAGGCGACACGGTGCAGCAGACCGCGTAGTGACGACAGCATATATTGCTGCAGCTACAGCAGCAACGGCAGCAGCAACAGCAGCAGCAGCAGCAGCAGCAGCAGCAGCAGCAGCACAAAGTGCATCAACACCGGCTTACTCGACGGCTCCCAGACAGCCGCCGTAACAGCGGGTGCAGCGAGGAAAACGCTCGCTGAGAGCTTAGCAGCAGCAGCAGCAGCAGCAGCAGCAACAGCAGCAACAGGATGGCGGTCTCCGGCAGCAGCAGCGCGGGCAGCAGCAGTGGCTGCGGAACTCTGGGTGCTGCTGCATCTCACCTGGAGCTGCTGCGTGCTGCACAGAAGGATGACTTCTACTGCCGGGTCTATGCCCAGCAGCTGCAGCAGCTGCTGCAGCAGCTGCAGCAGCTGCTGCTGCCTTCGCAGGGAGAGAGGCTGCGAAGACAGACTGCGTCCTCTACAGGGAGAAGCAGCAGCAGCAGCAGCAGCAGCACCGACACCGCTCAGGCGCCGGCTGCTCAGGCCGCGTCCAGCAGCAGCAGCAGCAGCAGCAGCAGCAGCAGCAGCAGCAGTTTGCTGCCATGGAATCGTTGGCTGCGGTGCGTTAATGCTGCAGCAGCAAATCTGTTTCTGCTGCTGCAGCAGCAGCAGCACGCAGCAAGGGCCCTGGTGCAGATGCTGTACTTCACAGCTTCTTTGGGGGGCAGCGGCCAGCAGTCCCTGGGGGAGGAATACTGTGAACTGAGAGCGGTACTTGCTGCTGCTGCTGCTGCTGCTGCTGCTGCTGCTGCTGCTGCTGCTAGTTTCGTTGCTTTGCTGCTTGCTGCTGCTTCTCGTAGCAATACCTGCAGCAGCTGCTGCTGCTGCTGTGACTCGCAGGGAAGTGGCGCTGCTCTATCACTGCCTTTGTAAAACGCCGCACCGCTGCTGCTGAAATTGCTGCTGCTGCTGCTGCTGCTGCTAATGTTGCTGCTGCTGCTGCTGCTGCTGCTGCAGGTTGGCTCGCCTTGCTACGGTGGCATGCGCGGCCGTTTGCTGCTGCTGTGGGCTGCGGTGCTGCGCTCGATCCCTTTTGCTGCTACTGCGGCTCTCATTGCAAACATTTGCAGGTATGTGCTGCTGCTGCTGCTGCTGCTGCTGCTGCTGCTGCTGCTGCTGCTAGCCTTCAACTGTGTTGCTGCTCTCCTGATGGCGAGGTGCCTGCTGTGCACCGCGCTGCTGCTGCTGCTGCTGCTGCTGCTGCTGCTGCTGCTGCTGCCTTTAGGGCTTTTGGGACATCTCCGCCGACTGCTGCAGCAATTGATGATTTTCTTGCGCGTGAGTTGCATGCAATGGAGTTCTTATTTTCAATTCTGCTTCTGCTGCTGCTGCTGCTGCTGCTGCTGCAGCTGCTGTTGCTTCTTTGCAGCAGTCTCTGCTGCTGTGTGCGTGGGGCTGTTATGTGATTGCTGCTGTTATTCTTGCGTCTCGCTGCTGCTGCTGCTTCGCTCTGCTTTCCGTTTTTGCTGCTGCACTGTCGCTGCTGCTGCTGCTGCTGTGCTGTGCTTTCCACTGCTGCTGCTGCTGCTGCTGCTGCTGCTTATTTGCAGTTCTGCGGCGCTTTCACTTGGCGCTCTTTTTCTGGGATGGAAGATTTTTGCATTTTTCGCAGAGGCAAGTTTGCTGCTGCTGCTGCTGCTGCTGCTGCTGCTGCCTCTGCTGCTGCTGTTGTTGCTGCTGCTGCTGCACTTGAAGCTGCCGCTTTTGATTGGTACATCGTGTAGCTGCTTCACTGCTGCTGCTTCGTTTAGCAGCAGCTTGCTGTTGTTGCTGCTGCAGTTGCAGAATAGCTTTTGTTTTTGCTGCTGCTGCTGCTGCTGCTGCTCCAGCTCATTTGCTTGTGGCTGCCTTTTGAGCAACAGCCTGACAGTTGCCTTGCGCTGCTGCTGCTGCTGCTGCTGCTGCTGCTGCTGCTGCAGGTTGCTGCAGCGCCGCCTTTTTCGGCTGTACGGAGGCCTGGCTTCGCGTGCTGCTGCTGTTTACATGAGGGGTTTTGCTGCAGTGCTGCTGCTGCAGAGTTTGCTGGTTATTCATTCTTTGTTTAATATGTTTAAGAAGCAGAAAGCTCGGCAGCACTTAAACAAAGAAGCTGCTGCTGCAGTTGCTGCTGCTGGTGCTGCTGCTGCTGGCAGCAGCAGCAGCGAGGGAGGGGACGGGACGCAGCCACCCGACGAGACCGACATGCCCAGCAGCAGCAGCAAAAGCAGCAGCAACAGCAGCAGCAACAGCAACAGCAGCACCAGCGGCAGCAGCAGCAGCAGCAGCAGCACTTTGGTTTGTTTATTTTGCCAGAGCTTTTGCTGCGTCCCGACTGCAGCTGCCTGCGGGCACATTTTCTGCTGGTCTTGCATCAGCAAATGGTGTCAGCAGCAGCAGCAGCAGCAGGAGCGGCAGCAGCAGCAGCAGCAGCAGCAGCAGCAGCAGCCAACCTGCCCCGTCTGCCGGTGAGCCAAAGATGTGAAGCAGCAAAAGGAAATCAATAAGGCTTAGGACCACACAGAGGCAAAAATGCTCCACGGCAACCCCCAGCTAGCTGCAGCTAGCTACAGCTAGCTACAGCTTGCTGCAGCTAGCTAGCTGCAGCTAGCAGCAGCTAGCCAGCAGCTGCAGCTAGCTAGCTGCAGCTAGCAGCAGCTAGCCAGCAGCTGCAGCTAGCTGCTGTAGGCATAGGAATACAGAGAGGCTGAAAAGCACCGCAGCCATCCCCAGCTAGCTACAGCTAGCTGCAGCTAGCTGCAGCTAGCTGCAGCTAGCTGCAGCTGCTAGCTAGCTACAACTAGCTGCAGCTAGCTACCTGCAGCTAGCGATACCCAGACGCAGCTAGCTGCAGCTAGCTACAGAAAGGCACAGCTAGCTGCAGCTAGCCACAGCCAGCCACAGCTAGCCAGGGAGCAGATGGGATGTCTATATGGTTCGTTAGTCTGCTGCAGCTGCTGCTGCAGCTGCTGCTGCTGCAGTTGCTGCCGCTGCAGCACAGAGTTAGCACTCTGCTGCCTGCACAGTACTCCCCAAACTATTCGTGCTGCTGTTGCTGCGGCTGCTGTTGCTGCTGCTACTGTTGCTGCTGCAGGGCCGCCTGCCCGCCGCAGCATCTGCTGCCGCTGCGGCACTATGAGAGCTCGGAGGACTTGCTGCTGCAGTACCAGCTGCAGCAGCAGCAGCAAGAACAGAAGCAGCAGGAGCAGGGAACGCAGCAGCAGCAGCAGCAGTAATAGCGGCGCTGGCTTCTGTGAACAAGAAGCCACTCTGTGGACAAAAAGCCCATGCAGCGCCTGCAGCAGCAAAAGGCTGCTGCTGCTGCTGTTGCTGCTGCTGCGACAGCAGCAGCAGCAGCAGCATGAACCGCCGTAAAGAGTTCGGCCTCTTCTGCCACTCCCACTTTGCACAGCGTGGCTACAGGATAAGTTATTCTGCTGCTGCTGTTTGGGCTGCAGCACGAGTTCCTGCTGCTGCTGCTGCTGCAGCTTTTGCTGCAGCACTTGACGTCGTTGCAGCTGCTGCAGCTTTGCTGCAGCTGCGCGCGGACAGCCCCTGAACTGATTCGACTCTGCAGCTGGCGCAGCCAGCTACAGCTAGCCACAGCTAGCTACAGCTAGCCACAGCTAGCTACAGCTAGCCACAGCTAGCTACAGCTAGCCACAGCTAGCTACAGCTAGCCACAGCTAGCTAAAGCTAGCCACAGCTAGCTACAGCTAGCCACAGCTAGCTACAGCTAGCCACAGCTAGCTACAGCTAGCCACAGCTAGCTACAGCCAGCCACAGCTAGTTACAGCTATCTACGGCTAGCTGCAACTAGCTACGGCTAGCTACAGCTAGCTACGGCTAGCTACAGCTAGCCACAGCTAGCTATATCCAACCACAGCTAGCGACTGCCACCTACAGCTAGCTGCAGCTAGCTGCTGCTAAACACAGTTCGCTACAGCTAGCTGCAGCCGGCTGTAGCTAGCTGTAGCTAGCTGTAGCTAGCTGTCTAGCCGCAGCTAGCTGCAGGTTGTCTTCATTTGCCTGTTTGGGGAGTTGCCCTGGGAACTTTTTGCTGCCAGCCATGCAGCCAGCTGAAATCTACTGCAGCGAACAGCAACAAGCAGCAGCAGCAGCAGCAGGGTAGGCAGCAGCTTCCTGCAGCAGCTGCAGCAGCTGCTGCAGCACAGGAGGGCGAGGCACAGCAGAAGCTAGGGCGAATTCAGTGTGTGGCAGCAGCAAGCAGCAGCAAATGATGTTCATAATAAATGCCGGCAGCAGACACAGACACGCGACTGTACTGTTGCATAAACCCAGAAGCTACCGCAGCAGCAGCAGCAGCAGAAGCAGCAGCGGCTGCAATGGCACGCTGCACAAGCAGCAGCAGCAGTACAAGCCATGCTGCAGCAACAGCAGCACAGGCGTCACTATAACAGCAGCAGACACGCTCATCGGAGGTGTGCAGATGGCAGCAGCAGCAGCAGCAGCAGCAACGGCGGCTCCTGACGAAGACGCTTGCTGCTGCTGCTAATGCTGCAGCTGCTGCTGCTCCTGCTTTCCCCGACAGCAAGCACCTCAGCAAGTTCTACTTTTCTGAAAGCAGCAAATAAATAAGAGCTTTGCTTTTTAGTTGGCTGCAGCCGCTGGGGTGTACGTACACCCCACCGCAGCCTACAGGGGCTGTGCGGCTGCATGCAGCGGGAGTTGCTGCTGCTGCTGCTGCTGCTGAAGCAGAACAGCAGCAGTTTTTTAATTTGCACTTTTCGCTCTCTGGCTGCGTGTTGCTGCTGCCTTGTAGGCCGCAGCTGCGACACACTCTGCTGCAGCAGCAGGCTCCTCTTTGTAGCAGCAGCAGACCGGCGCGAGCAGCAGCAGCAGCAGCAGCAGCAGCAGCAGCGAGCGGCGCAAACTACAGCCCTCTGTGTACCCTTTAGTGCGGTGCCTGGGCTCCTCCTGCAGCAAAATGGGGACTGCAGAAGAGGATCCCCAGCAGCAGCAGCAGCAGCAGCAGCAGCAGCAGTCGACTCAGCCGCCGCCGCAGCAGCAGCAACCGCAAGAGCAGCAGCAGTCACAGCAGGACAATGAAGACACTTCTTCTCCGCCCAGCGGCGCAGCTGCAGCTGCGCAGCTAGGGCAGCAGCAGCAGCAGCAGGAACAGCAGCAGCAGCAGCAGCAGCAGCAGCAAAGTCAGCCGCAGAGCGAGCAGCGGCCGTCGCCCGGAGATCTGGAGCAGCAGGCGGAGGCCGAGCAGCAGCAGCAGCAGCAGCAGCAAGAAGGCGACCTTGCTGCTGCAGAGCTGCAGTGCAAGAACGACAAGCTGCTGCTGCAGCAAAACTCGCTGCTGGACTCCCTGACTTCGGAGAGAATAGCCCGGCTAGCAGCAGAACGGCAGGCTCTTGCTGCAGCAGCAACAGCAGCAGTTGCTGAGGGCAATGCCAGTTTGCTGCGGCGGCGGCTGGAAGCAGCAGAGGCTGCGCAGCAGCTGCTGCAGCAGCAGCTCGAAGACAGACACGAGAAGGAGCAGCAGCTGCAGCAGGAGCTGCAGCAAGCCACCAGAGAATGCACCGCAGCGAAAGCAGCAGAGCAGCAGCAGAGGGAGCTGCAGCAGCAGCAGCAGCAGCAGCAGCAGCAGAAGTATGATGAGCTCCACGTAAGCTGCCCGCAACAGCAGCACCGGTAGAGACAGCAGAAGCAGCTGCTGCTGCTGCGAGCAGCTGCTGCAGCAAAGCTGTGTTTGTCCTCTGCTGCTGCTGCTGCTGCTGCAGACCATGCTGCAGCAGCTGCAGCGCAAGTACGCCTGCCTGCAGCAGCAGCAAGAGCTCGATGCTGCTGCTGCTGCAGAGAAGCAGCGCCTGCAGCAGGAGCTGCTGGACATGAGGGAGCAGCTGCTGCAGCAGAAGGATACAGTTGCTGCAGCGCAGCAACAAGTGATTGACGAGCTGCAGCAGCAGAAGCAGCAGCTGCTGCAGGAGGTGAGTTGCTGCTCTTGCTGCCGCCGCCGGGGCCTCCAGCCCTCGCTGCATACCTCACGGACTGCTGCTGCTGCTGCTGCTGCTGCTGCTGCTGCTGCTGCAGGCAGCAGCAAGAGAAGCGGAGTTGAAGCACGCACGAGAGCGTACAGCTGCAGCGGAAGCTGCAGCAACAGCAAGCAGTGGGAGCGAGAAGCAGCAGCAGCAGCAGGAGGAGCAGAAGCAGCAGCAGCAGCAGCAGCAAACCGGCATGACTGAGGAGGAGGCGCAGCTGCAGCTGCAGAAAATGGCTGAGCAGCAGCAGCAGCAGCAGCAGCCAATGGACCTTGCGATTAAGCTGCTGGTGCAGCTCGACGCCAAGTCTCACCAAGTACGCTCGCTGCTGCTGCTGCTGCTCTTGCTGCTGCTGCTGCTCTTGCTGCTGCTGCTGCTCTTGCTGCTGCTGCTGCTCCTGCTGCTGCTGCTGCTCTTGCTGCTGCTGCTTCTGTGTGTTGATGAGGTGTTTTTATTCTGCCCTGCTGCTGCGGTGTGAGATCTCGATAGAACTTGCTGCTGCTGCGCGTCGTGCTGCTGCTGCTGCAGCTGCTGCTGCAGCTGCTGCTGCTAGTCATCTGCTGCGGCGGCAGATTTTGCTGCTGCTCTTTTGCTGCTGCAGTGCAACGGGCTGAAGGAGCAGCTGCAGCAGCAGAGACAGAAAGCGGAGGCCTGGAAGGCTGCAGCGGAGCAGCTGCAGCAGCAGCAGCAGCAGATGCAGCTGCAGCTGCAGCGGCAGCAAACTGAGCTGCAGAAGCAAATGCAGCTGCAGGCCGAGCAAGAGTGCTGCATGCAGCAGCTGCTGCAGCAGAACAAAAAGAAAAGCCAGCAGATTCAGATCCTAGAATCCGAAGTAAGAGAATCCTTGCTGCAGCAGCAGCAGCAGCTGCTGCTGCTGCAGCGGCAGCAGCAGCTGCAGCAGCAGCAGCAGCTGCTGCTGCTGCTGTTGTTGCAGGTGTTACACCAGCAGTAGTCTATGCGCTGCTGTCATGCTGCTGCAGCTAACATGCGCTTCAGCTGCTTATGATGTTGCTGCTGTTGCTGCTGCTGCTGCTGCTGCTGCTGCTGCTGCTGCTGCTGCTGCTGCTGCTGCAGTACCGGGAAAAAGAAGAAGAGGCCCGGCGGTATATCCACCGCAACGACGAGCTGCTGCAGCAAGTTGCTGCTGCTGCTTGGGAGCTGCAGCGTCTGCGACATCAGCAGCAGCAAGATGCTGCAGCAGCAGCAGCAAACTCGGGCGCCGAGCAGCAGCATGCAGCAGCAACGCAGCTGGACTATCAAACGCTCTTGGGGCGCTCCAAGTCCGCAGAGATCTGCTGCTGCTGCTGCTGCTGCTGATCTGTTTGCTGCTGCTGTTGCCGCTGCTGGCTTGTTTGCTTCTGTTGTGCTTGCTGTTGCTTTGCTTGCTGCTGTTGCTTCTGCTGCTGCCTTGTTTGCTGCCGCTGCTGCGTTTTTTGCTGCTGCCGTTGCTGCTGCTGCCTTGCTGCTGCTGCTGCCTTGCTGCTGCTGCTGCTTCCCTGCACTGTTTGCTGCGGAGGCTTCTGTGCCGCTGCTTGCTGCAGCGCCCTGAAGCTGCAGCTGCTGCAGCTGACGGAGCACCGGGAGGCGGAGGAGAAGCGGCAGCAGCAGCAGCAGGAGCAGGAGCAGCTGCAGCTGCAGCACGAGCTGCGCGAGCTGCAGCAGCAGCTGCAGCAAGTGCAGGCAGACCGAAAGGAGCTTGCTGCTGCTGTAGAGCGGCTGCTGGAGCAGCGGCAGCAGCTGCAGCAGCAAGTAGAGGACCTGCAGCGCGGGGGGTCGGAGACCCAGCAGCCAAAGGATGCCCAGCAGCAGCCAGCTGCAGCGCAGCAGCAGCAGCTGCAGCAGCAGCAGCAGCAACAGCAGCTCAACGTCGCTGAACGCCTGGAAGCTGCTGAGGACAAGATGAGGCGTTTCGTGACTCAGGCAAGCAATTTGCTGCTGCTGCTGCTGCTGCTGCTGCTGCTGCATCTGCTGGAGCTGGCAGCGTTGCTGCTTCGCCTTGAGTGGCCCTCTGCTGCTGCTGCTTGTGCGGCTGCTGCTGCAGATGCAGGAAGTTGCTGCCACTTTGTGCGTGGAGCAGCAGCAGACCAGCAAGCTGCTGACTGAGACGCAGCAGCAGCAGCAGCAGCTGGCG